CGGCTGTTCTGACTCACAGACTGTAAGTACGTTTTCATTTAAAGAATTTGCCACTGATGATTCAAACGCGTGTTTTGAGCAGTGTAGAGTAGCTCTTGTTTGTCATTTCTCCGATCGCAAATGCAGACATGGTTTTATGTTTACGCGGCGCAATGCAACTCGTCGCGTAAAAAGACAGTATAAGTCATTATAATACGTAATTATGTCCCCACTGGATGCAACAAATTCCTCGTTTGTAATGGGTTTTCCTGTTTTCCTGGCTTTGGGACAGAGACGGTAACGACAGACATAAGGATGTACTCGTTGATCAAACAGTCCAGTTTGAACAGGTTTGATGACAGTACTCTTGAACCTCTGTTCACAAGTGTCGCGCACAGAGAGTAGCCTAATATAACCCCATTCGTGCTCTTCCCAATATTGTGACAAACACCATATTTAAAAGATAGAAATTGAAGGAAACTGTAAGATATGCACGTTTTATTTTCAAAATGTTTTATTGACGCGGTGAGTCAGGCAGTTATTAACACTGCAAAAAAATAAGGCCTATCTCCATTCAAATATAGGCTAACATTCTAAAATATATGTTTACTTTATAGGCAAAATTGCATAAATTTGAATAGCAATGTGATGTCTCAAAAAGCATTTATAATACGTATCTCATATTTTCCTAAAGTATTGTACCCTTAACTGCTTTAAACATGGTGTCACGTGGATGGAATATGCATGGAAATGATATCCAGATTACATTATGCATATTAAAACTAGGCATTGTAAGCTCCATATATGGCTATTTCGGGGAGGAGACGGGGTGGAGATGCATGTACGCACAATCTTCTGCTGACTGGATATTACAAAGGGAATTTTTTGCAGGTTCTGGCGTACGCATGGCTTTATAAATCTGAAAACTTTTGTACGTACGCAAAATCTAGCTTTTGTGAGTACACACACATTTAGGATGACATCTATGTAAAGTTTTATACATGAGGCCCCTGGTCTTTATATTTTCCTCAAAACAATTGGTCCCCCCAATGTTCTAGACATGATTATGGCCTAGTTTGTTATATAAAAAAAGTTAGTTGAAAAGAATCAGTGTTGAAACAATGATCCAGATAAAGAGAACAAAGAGGGCTTTTTTTTCAATAAAGAAAAAAAAAAGTTTATTTTGCTGTTAAAGTGCATGATAGCCTACTCTAGGCTGCCCATGAAAGCTATTTTTTAGCGTAGATATAATATAGTTAATATAGCAATATCTACAGTATATATATCTTCTAGACTATATGATGATATGATGACTAAAAAATGCCCACCCAGAATGTCTACCAGCCCACCCTTCAATAGCCGTCAAGAACCGGGCCTGATTGGGCCACTTCTCCCCTGTGCTCATGAGTATGCTACAGTATACTAGATGAGGACCTTAGTGCCTTAGAGGCGCTAGAAGGGCATACAAAGACAGATCCCAAATTTAGCATGGTAGTCGTTCCTCAATGCAAGTGCCAGATCTCACAGAACCAGTTACTATACAGTTGTAAGGGCTACCCTAGACTCCCTTACTAAAGAACAGTTATAATAGGTGCCTATGCACCTTCTAAACTTGGCCCATAATCTCTCGAGATCCAGGAGGATATTTTCATGTCTTTAACTCCCCCCAAACTTCCGAAACCTCTGGTACCCTCAAGCCAAATCCATAACCCCTTAAATAAAGGTCTCAACGCACACATGGTGCACAAGGCCCGCATATCCCTCTCAGGAGTGCATTTCGTGCAGCTGGGACAGGGTTCCGTGCAGCAGAGAGTCTATTTCTGGAAGATTCTGTCATCCGTATCAGTGTTAAGGTGCCATCACGGTGCCTGGGGTCACACACATGTACTTTAGCACCTTTAAAATCAGACGGCCTCTGTGATTGATGAAGTGAGCAAGAAGCATCTCGAAGACTCTGTGCACAGACCCACACCTGTGATCCTCCTGTCTTATTGCAAGACCCATGTTATACACAAGTAAGAGGGCAAAGGCAACGCTCGACTCTGTTTTCTGAACCATTGCGTATTTCAATCACTAAGTAAGAGTGACAGGCCTTTGATGTTAGTGTTTAGCTCAGAATACCTCATTCCATGATAATATGCGTAGCTGCATCTGTAAAACGCTTTTGCCTTTAAGACATATTAATTCGCAGACTCACAAATGTTTTTGACAATTACACTTCCTCAAGTGGAGCATTTCCACCTAAATGTGCTTCTCGCCGTTCTAAAGTAAAGCTATTAATTGCGTGTGGATGTGTTACCACCGCGTAACTTTTTTTTCCTCTTCCTGTTTTGCTTCAGTCATGTAATTGCAGTAGACAATCAGATGCCTGCTTTATGGGAGCATGGTAGAACTGTCACTTCCTGTTGGATGCAGATAACACGGGAGCTGTCACAACCACTTACCCTGCGCTAATGCACGCCACGTGTTTTCCCAGCTTCACATCTAGCTTGGCATGCAGCTCTTTATCTTGTTAATGAGACATAATGAACAGTTGGTGAAAACTTCAGGCACTTCAGGGGACATGATGCAAACAAAATGTGAGCGTAACCTGGCGAAGTCAATGTGTATACATCTATCCATTGTGGTCTGTAGCTGTGTCAATGATGCAAGCCTGTTTCGTTCTAGTAGAACCAGGAACCCATGTTCTTAACTTAACTTTCCAGAAGTGCTGCACAGTTGTCAGCCTTAAAGTCTTTTCACCACGATCCTGCTGCTATCCATTGTGGTCTGTAGCTGTGTCAATGATGCAAGCCTGTTTCGTTCTAGTAGAACCAGGAACCCATGTTCTTCTTTTGGAGCACTTAACTTTCCAGAAGTGCTGCACAGTTGTCAGCCTTAAAGTCTTTTCACCAAGATCCTGCTGCATCAAAAGAAAAGCATAATCATGTCAGAGTGCATATCCTAGAGGACCTAAAGTGGCTACTCCTTGCTCTTCTTGAAGTCCCTGCAGCCTTTTGGGAAAGCAATAGGTGGTTTGTTGACCTTGTGGCATGCTGCCATGTGAGATCCAATGCCCCAAACCTCTTGAACTTTGACTTCTTTAGAACTGCAAGGCAAATTAACTAGCAGAATTCAATGAACGAGCAACATCGCGACTGAAATAAAAGAAGTCCACCCATGGAGTAAATCGCCTCTAACTCTGCATAGACGCCCAAAATAATTGGAGTGTCCTATACCTCCTGCTGTGGATCTTTTGTGACTTAAAACATCTTTCATTTTCCTCAACTTCAAGCTAAAGCAATAGTGACCCCATGACACCTGAACTGATGTTTAAACAATGTGGAAAACTTTAGTTAAAATTTCCTTAAAGACCTCCATTCAGGAACATCTGCTACATGTGGTTTGGTCATCTTTTGTGGACGTGAAAGAAGCGATAAATTTCATTTTGATGAGGGAAGCCTCTTTTAGATTAGCCGCCCAATTAAATCTAGAGACAGAAATAAACAGGCAGACAGAGACTCCACTGTGGATATCTCCATTATCTGGTCACAAGGCCTGTTCTGATGACTGCAATATTTCTGTCGCTTCTTCAGTTTGCTATCCCACAAACACACATTGCTTTGTTCCGCTGCGGTTCCTCTATGAACACACTGAATGTCAGATGGAAATTCTTAGAATTCTGCAAAAAAATGGTATGTGTCATATATCCAGAAAGAGGACTCGTACAAAAAGGACACTGATAGTTCTGTTTTTCCTTTTTCATTTATTGGCACAGGACAACATTCTGTTGACATTAAAGAACACAAACTTGAGCTTGAGAACAGCAGACATTTCATAAAGAAGGCTTACAGGAAAGGAAGTATAATAAAAAGAACAGAGGGATCTTTTCGTCAGCATATGCACAGCAGATAAGTAAATGTGCAAAAACACATCTCCCTTTCATAAGAAGAGGATTTTCCACCATATAGGCTACGGACAGAGCAGCTCCAAACCAGATTGGCCACATGTTGTACGTTGCATGAAGCACTCGGTTTCACAAAAGATGTTTCAAGTCAATCTTTTATGATCAATAAAGCTGCCATGTTCTCAGGAACAAGTCTCTTGGAACTGGAAAAGCTTTTTTTGTCTTGAACCCTTTATATAAATGCTTTAATTTTGTGCCATGAAAACACAAGCACAGATCTTCAACAATGCCTGATTCAAAAATATTTTGAATATTGAAAACCTTTGACGCAGCCAGTGATTTATATAACAGAAGTGGATTAAGCGGTTGAATACTTTAACTGTCGAAAAAAAATCACAGCTATCAAAGAAGGGGATTTTGGGGAAAATGACACAGTTGTTGTGGATGGATTGAAAAGCACATGAAAATCAGAACACACCAGTGCTGTCTGTGCAGCTACAGCTGGTAGTCTGCCCACTGCCCCAGAGCAAGAACACAACATCCTATCAAACCTCAGAGTACTGCCCACACCAGCGCCAAGACTAGAGGAAGAGGCGAACGGCAGAAGAAAATGCCAAATGAGGAACGATATGTGGCTTGAAATGAGGGATATCCGTTATCTTAATTAATGACTACCTTATGTGAAAGAGATATTAATAGATTTACTTGTTTTGTATTCAGGTTATTATTTAAATGAACTGCCTTTTCATTAGCAAAAGTTTTATTTAACCACAGCCACTATTCTCATTGTTGATTCTGAGGTACTCTAATCCACATAATTTGAATAAACCTTTCACAAACTACACTCATTCTAAACACACAAAAATAGCACTACTAATGGACACGAACTTGCTCACACAAAACAAAAAAAAAAGGCAAGACCTGCTTTATGTATTCTGACTGTTTGGGTTAACATTAGGGGTGTGACGCATATTGTGACCATAAGTTCAGGATTATTTGACAATCACAACTAGTTATCAAGGCGTTCAGTAGTGACCACTTGGGTAAACTCTGTTCCTCAAAACCACCACAGGAGGTAAATGGTGTCGTACGCCTGGATAGTGCTGGATATGATCAAACCACCTGGTGATATTCAGATATCGCTCTTTCTCCTGTACAGCCAATTCCACCTAAGAAAAGTAAGGACAAACATGACACGGTGAACATTAAAGGGAAAAAGAAATGTGCATAACACTAGAGGCATCCAGTAAAATATCGACAAAAAGTACTTGCCTTCTTAGGCTTTATTAATTAATTAATTTATTTTTACAGCATTGATCTAAATTAAGATACTATTGACCTATTACAATATAATATATAAAGCATTTTATATAGTATAAAAT